GGGACCTTGATCTCGTCTGTGGGGGTGGTCGTGAGGCTTCGGGGCACTGGCAAGGGCTGAATGGCTGTTAGATGTTGTTCACCAACATTTTTCCAATGGGAGCCAAGCAGCGAGGCTCAGAGGCAGGCGACTCGCCCCGGTCATGAGCTGGGGAGTGAGCCTGGGTCGGACACCGTTTCTAGCCATGGAAGTAGATGTGGGCACAGCCTGGACCAGGTGAGGGCCGTCATAAAATATCTGATCAATGGGTTATGGGGTTTTTTTTGTTTTGTTTTTTTGCGTTCATTTTATACTTACCGAGCACCTACTGTGTGCCAGGTGGTGTGGTGACTGGGACACAGAGGTGCCCTCTGGAATCTGATAGTGGGCAGGATGGCCCCTGTATGCATGTCCGATGGAGCCCAGGGGCCCAGGGAGCTTTCCTTCCCTGCCTCCCACCTGCCCTTCTAAGGGATGCGTCCAGCTCTTCCCTCCCCAGCTGGGCCCAGCACACCTGTCCACCGAGACAGCAGCCAGTGTGAAGCTGCTGGCGTACATGGTGAGGTAGATGAGCAGGTGCACGGCTTTGCAGACAAGGGCCCCGAAGAGCCAGGCGTCCAGCGTGTAGATGGCAGCCTGGAAGGGCACGCAGCACAGGATGAAGCAGAGGTCGGCCACTGCCAGGTTGAGGATGAACAGATCTGTGGTGCTGCCCGGCTCCTGCCACGCGCTTGGGCCAGGCTGAAGCAGCACCGCCAACACCAGTCCATTGCCCACTGTGCCCAGCAGAAAGATGAGGGCAAAGACCACAGGCACTGCCACGGCCCCCACATTTCCTGGGTTGTCCAGCGAAATGTTCTGGGCATCAGCCATCTCCCCATCAGCTGGCACCTGGGGAAGGGAAGAGAAATCCTCAGACAGGAGTTCTGGCTCCAGTCACTTTGCCCAGGGCCCAGCTTCCCATCCTGGTTTGGTCATGTGTGCTGGGCTGGAAGCTCTTGGGGAAAGGGAAGTTGAAGGGAAGGGAGAACGAAGTCAAAAGTCACCGCAGAGACCCACTGCTGAGACTCACTGCGAGACCCCCTGCACATCGCATTTGCATGTTGGGGTGGCTGGGTGCACTTCCTGTTTTCCGAGGAAACTTAGCCCCGGTCATGGATAGACATCTTCAGCTGATGAGGTAGCTGGGAACACAGGCAGGATGAAGACATGGCAGGTAGGGTAGGGGCTGTGGCAACACCAGAAGACGCTAGGACCTTACAAGCTGCAGCCTCAGTAAGACATGGGTGACATTCCCGAGTCACCAGAGTTCAGTTTAGTGGCATCCCCACAATGGCCAAGCTGGGAACACCAGATAGTTCACTGCCCTGCTTTTGTACATGAGGAAAATTGAGGCCCAGGGAGGGGACAAGGGTGACTAATAGTACACCTTGGGTGACAGATCAGGGGCTGCTGCCATCCTGCTATCCTCACTCTATGCTAACAGGAGGTGCCTCTGGCAACCTGTGCGTGCCCATGCACCCCTGTGCCCATTCTCACCTTACTCAGCCCGTGTCTCCCACCACCTGTGGATTCCCTCACTTGCCTGGGAATAGGGCTGGGGAACAGGGATAGGGAGCAGGGAGGCAGGGAGGAGGGAAGGCAAGCAGTGTCTGCCCCCACCCAACATCCAACACCCAGCACTCAGCACCCAGCAGGCCCCCAAAGCCCATGCCGAGCACCACCCACCTCAGTCCTGGGCTCCGATCTGCTCCCTGGTCTGGGTGGAACTGCCAGGCTGAGGTGCCTCCTGGTCCGGCGACTGCCCCTTGATGCTACCCTGCAGGTGGAATCTGCCTCCTACTTCTCCCTCTTCACCTCTAAGGCCTCTCTTCTCCTCTTCCCCTGTCTGCTGGGCACCACCTCTGGAGTAGCCACTGGCCACCTCCTTAGTGCATGGTTTCCCCCTGGTGGCATGCTCTTCTGCTGGACTCTTCTCTGCGTCGCTGCTGCCTCACGCTCTCCTTTTCGGGAGTTACCATTGATCTGCTCTCAGACTGGCTTTGTGGTTAACCCCCGAGCGCCCAGTGCCCAGCCCATTCCTGTCACTCCCACCTCTCTGTGGCCCTGCCGATGACTCCACCTGTCCCCTTCCCCTCCTACTCCAAGTAGGGATTCAGTCTGAATTTAGAAGGAATTCCTAGGCTTACATGGAGTTTCCTGGACAGGGAAGCCAAGATCTGAGTCCCCTTTCTACAGACTTCAGGTAGGTTGCTGTTGTGATTTGTTTAGATGTCCCCCAAAGCCTCATGTAGATGAGGTGGGACTTTCTTTTTCAGAGGTGGTTCAATCTGGAATGTGTGATGCTGGGGTTAAGGATGTGTGATTATTATTATTATTTATTATTATTATTACCAGGGATCAAACTCAGGTCCTTGCGCTTGCAAGGCAGGCGGCAGAATCACTGAGCTAAATCCCCAGCTCAGGGATGTGTGATTATTAAACCACTACATGTGACTGATTAGTTTGGCACAGCCCTAATCCTGGTAGTCTGAATAAGAAAGATACTGTTAAAACTCTTGTTACCTTTGTTGCCTTGTGTGTGCTTTTTCTTTTTGGTACCCGAGATGGGACTTGGGGCCTTGTGCTTATGAGGCAGGCAGCAGCACCAGAGCTAACTCCTTGGCCCTTGTGTATACCATGTTGTTTCTCCTCTGCCACGCTTGCTTGCCATACCAGCCTCAGCCAGCTACTTGAGCCCTGCAGCCTCTATGAACTGCGAGCCAGTAAACCCCAACCCTTTTAACTTTGGGTGTTAGGTATTTTGTCTCAGCCAAGAGAAAAGAGTAACACAGTTGCCTTTCCCTGGGTCCTGTGAACCCCAAGCGTTCATCTCCTTTTATAGCTCGTTCTGAAGGGTTAATCCATCCAGAAACCTGATGGTTTATGAACCTGTCTTAGTCTCACCTTAACCTCAGAGAAACGGAGCGAGTGAAGGTTCTAGAGCTGGAATATGATCTGCACGTTTTATTTTCTAAGAAATTTATCATGGCCTAGGGCAAAAAGAATGGACCAAGGCGGCCAGAGATTTGATGAGTGACCTATCAGGAGTCTCTTGCCCAGGCAAATGACCAGGAGGTTAACAGCTCGGGTGAGTGGCTGTGTGACTGTCATGGGGTTCTGGCCGGAGCCCTTGGAGCAGTGGCACACAGGCAAAGGCTTTCAGAATGTGGGCTGGGACCAGGGGAGCATGGTGCAGGGACCTAGCCGCCAGGAGGCTGTTGTACCCTAGACAGGTAATGAGGACAGAAAGCAGTCTGGTGAGTTAGGAAGGGAGAGTTTTCTAGAAGCAGGGGGTGGAGGGCCATCCAGAGGAGGTCTGAGAGGGGCGCTGGCAGAGCTGAGAGCTGCATCTGAGGCCCAAGACTCGGGGGGAAACTCTTCAGGACCAATTCCTCCAGTCTGAGCTGGGCACCAGAGCTGGCTGTTTCTCTGCAGGCCTGTCACCCAGCCCAGATACAGAGAAGCCCATATTTTTGGAAGCAGAGACTTGATGAATAGAAGCATTAGAGAGTTGTTTTGTTTGGTACCGGGGATTGAACTGGAGACCTTGTACTTGTGAAGCAGGTGGCAGAACCACTGAGCTAAATCCCAGCCCGAAAAGAAGCTATTAGAAAGCAGACATGGATTGTCCAAACCTGAATGCAAAACCATTAGAATTGCTCTATCTCATGATCCCTGAACAGGGGACTTGTGGGACTCTAGACCTGGTGTGGTGAGGTCAATCATGGCTATTGCACTCTAGACCCCCAGAAGCCCGGATACATGTGTACATATGCCTGAACCCCAGGATCACCCACATCAGCACCCTGAAAACCCAGATTCAGGACAGAGTCTCTATACCTCTCCCCTGATCTCAAGGCCTCTCCCCGCAATGGACTCAGGCTGATCCTGGGCAGAGAGCTCCAGAAGGCAGTGCAAGGCCAAGCTAGCGTGATACTGCAGGCAAGGATGCCAAGGAGGTGACTGAGCATGCCACTGCTGGGGCAGCGTCATGGTGCACACTCCAGAATGTCTCTGCTCTTTTCTCCTGAGATGGCTCCTGCTATTGTTGCTGGCAGCCAGCCTTGAAACTGGTGCCCATTACAGAGAAACAGGAGCAGTTCCCAGAGCTTTTGGCTCCACTGAACATAGACTGCAGCTAATGCAAAGCAAGTGCTCTGGCCCTGTGCACCTCTGACAACCACAAGCCCACGCCGAGCTGAGACCCGTGCATCTGCCCAGAGCAGCTGCTGCGCCTGCTTGATGCTTTCTGACTCCTTCTGGATGGCAGAGGATTCACATGTTGGTGGACCCCGGCCAGGCTGCTGGGCATGTTGAGCCTGGAGTTGACCGGGAGAGTGACAGCCGCTTGTGGCTCAGGAGCTCTTTGAGCTGGGGGCAGGGGCAGAATGCCAGCAGTGGCCAGTGCCCCATTTTTGTTTTGGCCACTGAGCATGACCTCCACCCAGCACAGACCATGTACAGTAGATGAAGCTGCTGGTGGAGTCCTGGCCACCACCGGGCCTGTACACCCCCCGTGGCAGGTGCTCAACCTGGCCTGGCAACAGGTACCCTGTGGTGGCAGCTGCAACTGCAGCCACAGCTACACTCCCTGGGTTGCACCTCTTCTGGACTCCAACTTTGGGCTCCTCCGGACCACAGGCCAACACACCTTGAAGCACCTGCAGGACGGCTCGCCCAGACCATCCATCCCAATGCTGGCAGAGTGGCTGCCTGAGATGGGCCCAGTTTCTGTCCTTCACGAAGAAGGGCCTTGCCATCCTGCTCCACTGCAAGCAAACCATGAGCTTTCCAAGGCCACACCACTCAGAGGCCAGGCCGGAGTTGCGGCGGTGATTCAGAACACACACCCACCGCCACCCTCACATTCTCAAGGCTGAGCAACGGAAACCCTCCTCCTCCTCCTCCTGAAGCACCCGTAGGACCATGGGCAGCGACTGTGGGAAGGAGGGTGGAACCTCCAATAGCGGAGCAGCCACCCTTGCGAGAGACAAGGGTTGACTGGGCCTTGGCAAGAGCAAGTCAGCCCTTCAGCCTTGCCGGCAAGCGGGGCACACCCCACGGTCCCGCCTCCCGGGGGGCGGGGCTGCGCAACACCACGGGCCAGCCCTGAGGGGCGGGGCAGGTGGCTTCAGGAGCTGAGCTCGCTGCGCCCCCCGGCGGCCCATCAGACCGCAGAACTTGGAATGAGGGAAATAGAAGGGCCTACACCTCGATGTTTGTCTCTCTGTAACAGAAGGAGAAGGGGACACGGACACGGACACGGACACGGACACGGACACACACACACATACACTCGCGATGAGGTCTGTAGTCCTCAAGCACGAGTCTGCTGAGGCAGAATAAAGCAGACCAAAGAGTCCAGCCAGTCTGCAATATTTTTTCACTTATGGCCAGTAGCACAGTGTCCTTGCAAGCCCCAGCCTAGGACTCTGAATTAGGAGTCAGTCTCTTGGCCTGATCAGCACCCCTCTCTCGCCTCCCACCCCGGGGCACTGGGGGCTCCTTGGCTCTGCTGTCCACACCAGAGCTCAGGGCAGTGCTCCGTGCAGCTGCCCCACCTCTACAAAAGCCTCCACGCAGCGGTCAATGTCTTCGTTGCTGTGCACTGCTGAGATCTGCACCCGGATTCGGGCCTTGCCCTTGGGGACCACTGGGTAGCTGAATCCGATGACGAAGATGCCTGGAAGGCAGACAGCAAAGGTACACCAGAGCTAGACATAATTCGGGGGCGTGGCACACACGGACTACTTTCCTGAGGCCCACAGAGGGAAGGATGTGGGTAAGAGGGAATAGGACCATCTACTAGGTTCCCCCTTCGCTCTTAGGATCCCCACCAGTCCTTTTACTCCAGCTTCCTTACCTACTTATTTGAGACGGGGTCTCACTATGTTGTTCAGGCTGGCCTTGAACCCACTATGGAGCCCTGTCTCCCCTTAAACTCATGGCGATCCTCCTGCTTCAGCCTCCCCAGTGCTGGGATTACTGGCATGCACCATGCCTAGCTTATTTTTAAATTTTGGGGGCCTTAAGCATGCTAAGCAAGCGCAGCCTCTTACCTCTCTTTAACATGTCATCTGCCATGACAGAGGCCAGACGGGCATCACCTAGCATCACAGGGCAGATGGGGTGATTGCCTCCTGAGATGGTGAAGCCAGCAGCCTCCATCTTAGTGCGGAACCTGGGGACACAGCTGAGTGTCAGAGGTAGCTGTCACATGGCCCAGGATCCCTGCCCAGGACAGCAAGAAGCAGCAGTAAGGAAGGAAAGACGGACCCCGAGAGGCAGATGGAAACCAGGCAGGGGGAGGCAGAAGCCAGAGGTGGAAAAGGATGAGCAAGAGGGGGACATGGGAGGCAGGAGGAAGAGGCGGAGACAGGAAGCTGTAGGTCAAGCCAGCAGGTGTGGAACTATCCATGACCTAGGCAGGCCAGCAGCACAGCCCCCAGCCTGCCCAGTCCCTGCTTGAAGCCACACCTCTGGGTCTTGGCCGCCATGGACTGGACTATGGCGCTGCTCCCCATGAGCAGATCCAGGGCCTTGGAGGCACAGCCCACAACAGCAGGGGGCAGGCTGTTGGAGAAGAGGTAGGGCCGGGCGCGCTGCCGCAGCAGGGACACCAGTGGTGCAGGCCCTGTTGTGTAGCCCCCTGTGAGTAAGGAAAGGGGTGGTCAGAAAGGAGATCAGAGCCCTCCTGAGAGTACAGTCCATAGGGGCTTCTTCTCTGCAGACCCACATCTGCCCTGCCTGTCCTGCCACCCCTCTGCAGCCCTGCCCGAAGCTAAGGGAACTGGGGCACAACCCTGTGGGCACCTGATGCTCCACCCAGTGCCTTCCCCAGAGTGGAATTGATGATGGCGACCTGGTCCATCACGCCCAGTAGCTCATCTGTGCCCCTGCAAAGGAAGCAGCCACTGATGCCAC